AGCAAACCTGGAACTTTAGTTCTGCTGCTCTTCAGGTGGCTTCTGGTTTCTGACCCTGCTGGAAGTTGAGATTTTCAGCCTGTAACACTTTGAATGTCTCCTGTTAGCTGGAACTCAGCTCACTGCCAGCTTGGACTTGGCTTCCTAGTCTACTGTTTACTTCAACTTGGTTGTACCTCACCCTCACATTTGGAACCACTACATGGAGAAAACCTTGAAGCTGTTCTGAGTTCTGAATTTTGTTGGCCCCTATGCAAAATCACTATAGGCCAATTGGCATCTTCTGTGGGTGTGAATGTGTGTGTCTGAACTCAAATAACTCACCAGGCACTACTGTCCCAAGTGTCGACTGATCTGTTCCACTGGTGAATTTCTGGAGGGCTCTGCGCTTGCCAGTAGTCACCATGGTTCTGTAATTTCCAACTGTTCTTCCTATGCTACAAGCTGGCATTAGGGAGAAATTCACTTGCCACCTCCTTTGTGCGTTGTGGTCCCTCTCCTCGCTCTCCTCATGATGCTAATTCTCATTTCAGATCCTTGCTAGGTCCTGGGGATTCATTTTCCTTCCCTTCTTCCTCAAATTACCGTATTCTAGTATTCAGATTCCAAGTATAAGAGAGGCTGTTTCTCTGTTGCTCACCATTCTACCATCTTCCCAGAAGTCCTCTAATTTTAGTTTTAAACCTTTGTTGTATTTTTTTTTTTTTAAATTTCTGTTTCAGGGACTCTTTTACAGATTATTGGATTTCCTATATCTGCCTTTTGCCTACCATTTTCTTTTACATCCTTCTTTTGAATTTTTTAAAGTTACTTTTAAAGACTACAAAATAGTGATACAAAAGTACATTAGAAACGATATAAGATTTCACTAAACAAAGTAATAGGAATTCAACAAAGGCTGCTGCATTACATGATGCTATCTCCAAATTAATTGTTCATATTACCAAATATAAATGTGTGAAATTCATTAAAAGAAAACAAAATAACAAGTCATAAGAATTTCAAAAGAGGAAAGAAATCAGAGAAAAAAATGTAAGAATAACTGTTCTTTCAAAATACCAGCAGAAATTGACAACACAATTATCCAAACCATTCTGCACATATACCTAAATATATCTTTTCTCCTTCTTTTTTTTTTTTTTCCTTTTTCTTATCCTAGTTTTTCCTTTCCATTAGTATCTGTTGTACCTTTTAGATTTTCATTACTCTTTCAGGTTCTCACACTAGAGAGATAATACAATGTTTGTACATGTGGATCTGACTTAATTCACTTACTAATATAGTCTCTAGCTGACTCCATTTATCTACAAAATCCTCAAACTTATATTTTATTACAGCTGAATAGTGCTCCATTGTGTAAAAATACCATATCTTCCTTATTCATTCTTCAGTTAATGGGTATTTGGGTTGTTTCCGAGATTTAGCAATGATAAATTGCACTGCTGGTAACATGGGTGCATGTATATCACTGTGATATGATTTCAATTCTTTTGGAAAAATACCCAGGAGGGGAATAGCTGGCTTGAATGGGACCTCTAATCCTAGCTTTTTGAGGAATCTCCATACCTACTTCCATAATGGTTATACCATTCTTTATGCCCACCAACGGTAGAGAAGAGTTCATTTTCCCCGACAGCCTCTCCAGAATTTGCTATTGGTTGACTTCTTCATATAGCCAACTTGAACAATCATCTATCTGAGAGACAGCACAGCAGCAACTGGCATATCATGACAAGTAGCCCGTATTCAGAACATCAGAATGACAGGCACTCCAAGCATGAACCTACTATTACAAATTGCCATGTTCAGTGCAGTTGCTTAGTTCACAGGTGTCAGTATATATTACTCAGGTTGAGAATCCTTCCAATTAACTTCTAGCTTCAAAAATCTTCTGAAGATTCTCAGGATTATTGCCTTACCCATCTTCTACATATAACTGTATGGCTTGCCACTGTCATGTTTCCTAGCTCTTCTCCTTTCCCTCTCTTACTTAACTAGTCCTCAAGTTCTTGCTTTCCTTTTAGTTCCATTATACCTTTCTATTTATATTTCTTCTTTTGAGTTCTTATACTAGGGAAACAATACATTGTATTGTATTGTACAATGTATTGTTTCCCTAGTATAAGAACTCAAAAGAAGAAATATAAATGTGTGACTGGTTTATTTCACTTATATCTTCAAGTGGCATCCAGTTCAATATAAAGGCTTCGAGTTTATCATTCTTTATAGTTGAGTAATACTCCACTGTATAAAAATACCACATTTTTTGCATCCATTCCTCAGGTGATGGGTATCTTGGTTGTTTCCAAGATTTGGCTATCACAAATTGTGCTGCTATAAACATAGGCACACATATACAGCAAATAATCACGAGGAGGAGAGTATGCAATATGTTAAGCATTGAAACTGTCCTACCAATTTGATTTGAAAAAAAAAATGATAGCCAACTTGTACCTTTATTTCTATTTTAATTTCTTATATTCACTATGCCTTCTACCATGCTTTATGTAATACTAATCCTCTTTTGTGTCATTTCTAGTTTTATTTCTGATACAAACAAAACATCCCCTCTATATTTATGCTATGTTCTTGAAGTTTTGTTTTCATATCCTCTTGTTCATGACTCAGCTGTACTGGGTACTGTTGTTAACCTGAAATCCTATATTTCTAAGCCTGTGCTGTTTCTCAGCTACAGCAATTTTCAAGGTTTATTCAGTGCCTATCTGAATTTTATATGGAAGTTTACTCTGTTGAGAAGTTCCCCTTTCTTCCTGATATAGTAAAATCATTAAATTGATACAGTGGTGTTACCATTTTGATGGTAAATGAATGAGGTACTTCCTTTTTTTCTTTTTGTATGTATTTGATATAGGCTTTCACTACATAGCTTGAACTTGTAGGAATCCTCCTGTTTTCAGCCTCCCCAGCAATGGAACTACAGGCATGTGCCACCAGGCCCAGACTCGGTGACCAATGCAGCATAGTGCCTGGGGGAGGGGCCAGCATGGCACATGGTGCTGGGGATGGAACCTTGGTTCCTGTTCTTGCCTAAGCAGGCACTTAGTCCACTGAGCTATCTTGCTGGACCAAGGTAAACTTTCTCGGAAGATATTCTCATGTAAGACTTTTGAGGTGCAAAGGGAAAAAATCAAGTTTCCACATTATTTTGCTTGAAAGTTCTTTACAATGTTCAAAGTTTTAAACTGAGTCACCAAATGCGTCCAGACTTTATTAGATTCTCAAATATCAACCTGGTTTGGGGCCTTTGATCACAGTCACTTTTTTCTCTTTGCTTTGCCACCAAGGGATGCATGCCTCATCACTCAAATGCTCCCTTTCAGATTATCGATGTGGACTTTTCAGTTTCTTCCAGGTATCTTCGTTACTCCCACAGTATCTCCTCTTTAACCTCATTAAGAGGCAGCCTCTGAGCCCAAAGTATCACCTGGAAGAAACCTCTAGGCACAAGGAATTCCTACTTTTGACTATTAAGTGATTAGAGAAAAAATAATCTCAATTATGTAAAGCCACTAATACCATGGCATTCCATCTTCCTTCACTCTCTTTCCTTCATTTGTCATGTGACATTACAAAAGCAAACACAGAAACTTTTATACCATTCTGCTTGAATAATGAAGGCTGTTAGGAAAATTCAAAAAGGTGCAACGATAGGATTCTCAGTCTTGAAAGACAAGTAGCAACTTATAAGGTGGTCAATGAACAAAGAATTCTCCAGGTAAGCCGGGCATGGTGGACAACGTCAAAAACTTCAGGATTCTGGGAAGCTAAGGCAGGAGAATTTCAAATTTGAGTTCCACCCTGGGCAGTTTACTAAAATACATCTCAAAAAGGTCTGAAATAAATCTCAAAAAGTTCTGAGATGCAGAGATGTAGCTCAGTGTAAACACCTTAGGTTCAGTTACCAGTACCTTAAAAGAATGCCACAAACATTATGTCCCTAACACATATGCTCTACTGACAGAGTATCATCTTCTTCATATTCACTGTAGTTGGTTGTCACCCTAAATAGCTGACAAGACAGTTAACTCTGTCCCAGTGTGACATATACTGTTGGCTAGCTAACCCACCAGGAAATGTAGTCTACTTCTTTGCTTACAACTGCTAGAAAAGTAATCATTAGTTTATTTTTCTTGCCTTCTCTATAGCTAGAGATGACCACATGATAAAAACCTGACTAATGAGATGGAAGCTAAAAACAAATGGTGTTCTAGAAAGGCTTTATTGAGTGAAATGTGATTATTACCATTATTCTTCCCTCTTTTAGCTCTGCTTACAGGTGAAAAAGTTGTAACTATGACAGCAATCTTGTAACCATAAAAGAAAAGCCAAAATGTTTTCATGAATTCCCTACAATTCTGGAGTAATAGAATCAGAATGTCTAGACAGCTACTTTGAGATTTCCTTTTACATAAGAAAAATAACCTTACTGGTTAGGGATCTCTGATTCTGGTACATTATGACATATTATGTAAAGTGGAACAAGTCACCCAAGCTACTTCTAGTGTAAGCAAGTATTTGCAAGTATTAACACAATTAAGATAATTTATTGTCTGGGTGGGGTCTAAAAGTAACAAGAGCCTATTAGGCAGAATCTTATCAAACTACTGATCAACTATGCCCTAATTGCTACACAATTCTAGTACTGTTACAGTGTCCTAGAACTGACTAGGTCCTCTTAAGTATTTAGGTAAAAACCAGTTATGAAATACAGTAACTAGTTTTATCCTGCAAAGAAAATCATACTACAACCAGAAGTTGTGGAGCGCAGGGTAAAACAAGTAGAAGACATGTCAGGAAAAATTGGCTAGACTCATACAGTATATGCTATGCATACCTTAGAAAATAAACAATACAAAGTTGTAAAAATGTCAATTGTTTTAATAATCTAAAAAGAACAAGTTAGTGTTTTATTCTTTAAATTAAAGATCCAAAATATAAAATTCTGTGGTAAAATTTTTTCAAAAGGAATTCCTACAAACCTTTTGATTTTCCTGTATTTCCTTCCTCATCTGTTGATTTACAGCAATTCTGGTCAGAGATCTGGGAAAATAAATACAGTATCATTCATGTTTTCTTAAATCTTTGAGACCAGTCTAATATTCAATGTATTATTAGTACTCTGGAAAATAAATTAAAAACTCTAAATGCTTCAAGAGAGAAAAACATACATTTCTATCTAGCCTAACTTGGCAATGAATGGTACAGTAGTTTTTTTTCTTCTACCTTTTTTTAAATTAATTTTCTTGAGAAACAAATGGCAATGAGACAGTTTCAAAACCATTAGGAGGACAGTTTCAATAATTAATACATTGCATAGTGTTGCCTTCATAGTGGTTATTCATAGTACAAGGTGCAGACGTGATATCCCGTCCAAACACTTATACTACAAATCTTTCTTCTCACTGAATTAAGAGAAAGTAGTTGTATATCTAGCCTATTTTGTATATACAGAAACAAAATGGTCCTTCATTTGTATCCCCGATTTTTGTTTAGTTTTGTCAGAGATGGCTACTCCAATGCCATTAAAATATTGTTGGTGTGTGAATTCAGCAAAATATTCCAATATAATCTAGCAGTCCATAACAGTATTGGGTTATCTGTAGGACTGACCATGTCAGAAGTTGTTGTCTTGATCCTTTTATAGCTTAGCATATTAATATGGTTTTACTTTTTATACCTTGTTTTTATACTTTTCTGCTGGATGGTTAAGACCAAGATAAAGCAAGACTCATATAACAAGAAATGTAACTTTTGTATCTGACAGCGTCAGTCAAATCCCCTTAGGATTTATCTTGAAACCCAGTAGTGCAGTTTGTACATCCTTTGTCAGTGTCAGCCACGTGGATGAGTTACTTGACCGATCTGTTCTCTGTGAAAGCCTGAGAGAATGCTTTCTCTCCATGTGACTCTCCTTAGGCACATCTATATCATCAATCACTTTCCTCACTGACCTTGAAAGGCTAGGGCCAAAATGTTGGCTGTCCTTGCAGCCCTTTTTTATCTCTAATTTTTTGTTTGCAAACTTAAGTTGTTAACCCTCCAGAAGAGAAGCTTAATGATATTATTAGCCTATAACATAGGCAGGTGAACTTAACCTCTCTACCTGTCTGAATACCAAACATCTTAGACATAGCATGGAACAGGTATTTTTCTATCATAGTACACTAGTTTTCATATGACATGGTACAGTATTTGATTCAGGTAATTAGAGGTGCAAAATTTCACTTTTTCTTTTTTTTATTTTCAAAGTTTTATTGATAAACAGATAGCAATGAGACAGTTTCAAATCA